AAAAAAAAAAAAAAAAAAAAAAAAAAGAGGCAATAATTCGAAATGAGATAAAAAGCAATGAATGCCCATGAAACCCCCCGCTTTGAGGTTGTCCGATATGGGATCTTTCCCTGCCCTTCCTCAGTAACATTTATGGCTTCACTCATCAACCCTCCGTTTTCTCTTCATATATGAAACAAATATTATATCTTTGGATTCCTCATCTCCTCCAAAATGTTCAGCTCCCATTCAAACAATCTATCTTTTCTGTAGCTCATCTTTGAAGATGATGGGGTTTTGTTGTTATCTTTGAAGAGAGGCAAAAAAACATTAAATATGCCTACAGTTTGGTTGTCCTTGAAGAAATCTCTGCACTGCAAATCAGGGCCATCCGAAGTTCATGACCCAAAAAGCAGAAGAAATCTAGGCGCCATTTTGACAAGAAAAACAGGGGGAGGAAGATCGGGTTGTTCCAGGTCCATTGCAAATCTCAAAGATGTCATCCATGGCGGCAGCAAGAGGCATTTGGATAAGCCCCCAAGTTGCAGTCCAAGATCCATTGGCAGCAGTGAGTTTCTCAACCCAATAACCCATGAAGTCATTCTCACTAACTCAAGGTGCGAGCTCAAAATCACCGGATTTCACGGCGCTTTCCCACCAGATGTGCCTTCCTCCGCCGACGAACCCCTCACAGATCGTCCCGCCGCCTCCACTTTTGTGGGTACTCTGACACCGGGTACGCCGGGCCCCGGTGGCCACCCCACAATGCATTACTTCAATCCTTCCTTTAGGTCTTCTTCCAGAAAGTTCCCTTTCAGAGAGGGATTTGTAAGCTCTAATAAATCTGGCGGCGGCGGTGGAGCTCGCAGCCTCGGTGGTGGAGGTGGAGGTGGAGGTGGAGGTGGAGGTGGAGGTGGAGGTGGAGGTGGAGGTGGAGGTGGAGTCCATACGAGTAACAGAATCTCATTGGAGACAGAGATTGGTGGGAATAGATCTTCTTCTGCGGTCACTTGTCATAAATGTGGAGAGCAGTTCAACAAATGGGATGCTGCTGAAGCTCATCATCTTTCTAAACATGCTGGTAAAAACACTCAAATTCCTTGTTTCAATTTCGTTTCTTCTTCATTTTCCTGGAAAATTCCTGTTTGGCAACTGCGAAAGTATGTTCATCTTCTACCTAATCCAGTTCACTCTATTTCATCTTTCTTGTTCATTGTAGTCCTTGTAATTTTAGCATTCTGATCCTTGTTATCTTATTATTTCATCTGGGTCTCTGTATAAAAGATTAAATATATGGTTTGTTTGATTGAACTTTTAGATTCATGCTAATTTCATATACGGTTTGTTCTTCCGTTTTCAGTGACTGAGCTTGTGGAAGGAGATTCATCAAGGAAAATTGTGGAGATCATTTGCAGGACAAGCTGGTTAAAGTCTGAGAATCAATCTGGTAGGATTGAAAGAGTACTCAAAGTTCACAATATGCAACGAACGCTAGCCCGGTTTGAGGAGCATCGTGAGACGGTTAAGATCAAAGCCAGCAAGCTCCCGAAGAAGCACCCTCGGTGCCTTGCCGATGGAAACGAGCTGCTGCGATTCTACGGCACGACAGTTGCGTGCTCCCTCGGTTTGAATGGCTCCTCCAGCCTCTGCATATCGGAGAAGTGTTGCGTATGCAGGATCATACGCAACGGATTCTCGGCAAAGACAGAGATGAAAGAAGGGATAGGGGTGTTCACAACTTCGACAAGCGCAAGAGCGTTCACCTCGATCGAGGTGTCGGGAGGGGGGGAGGAGGGGGGGATGGTGAGGAAGGCGATGATAGTTTGCAGAGTGATTGCAGGGAGAGTTCACAGGCCATTGGAGAACATACAAGAAATGGCTGGGCAGACAGGGTTTGATTCATTGGCAGGAAAAGTTGGGCTGCATTCAAATATAGAAGAGCTTTATTTGCTGAATCCTAGAGCTTTGCTTCCATGTTTTGTGGTAATTTGCAAAGCATGAAAGGAAATTAGTGTGGTGAATTTGTAATTTCTTGTTCACCTTTTGGAAGATTTTGATACTTTTTGAATTATGTCTGCCAAAATATATGAAAAAGTTGTGAAGCTTTTGTTGTTTAATAGAACTGGAGAACTTTTCAAATTAAGAACATGCAGAGAGGGGAGAGGGGAGAGGTTGGTGCACAGAGTCTTTATTGCATCATTTGGAAGCACAACACCAGCCTGCATTTCCTCACCCAATCAGCGTAACCCAAATGACATACTTGTTTGTTTCCAGCTTCTGCGAGCGTTCTTGATACAAGTGAAGTAGAAAGCTGATAAACGAAGCAGTGTAAATAAACAGGGGAGGTGCAGGGTGGTCCATGGTTTGGAGGGACATGCCCCCAAAACAAACGTTAGTCCAGATTAGACCACAAAGTTAAGAGGAGGGGCAGTGGCTGTCATGTTC